GCACTCTTGAAGCCCAACTTCCTCCCCAGCAAGCTGGTTTTCGCCTTGGTCGCTCCACACTGGATCCGCTGACTCGCCTGTTTGCTCAGACCATTTCGCCGTGGCGAGCGGGGGAAGGTCGGCGCGGTGCTGGTGGGCCACGCTGGGGCCTTCGGCTCGGTTGATCAATACCGCGTCCTTCACGCACTCCGCGCGCACAAGGTGGTGCCGTGCCTGAGCCGGTGGGAGGCGGACTTCCTTTCCCTACCGCGCGGTCAAAAGCCGCGTGTTAAAAATACACTCATCACACCGGTTCATTTCACCCGCGGCTCCCGCAGGGTTGCGTGCTCGGCCCGCCGCCGCCCACCGTTGCCGCGAACAGCCTCAGTAAGGAACCGGTGTGCATCCCCAACCTTGAACTTGCTTTCATCGCCGACGACCTGACCGCCACCACTCGTGCCACCGAGAGAGGGAGAGGCGCCATGGAGCGCACGCTGCGGCAAGTGTTGCGTTGCACGCGAAGATGGGTGGAGCGGAACAGATATGGAGCCCAGCGCCGCTAAGAAGTGCACGCTGTTTTGGCACCGCCCTCACTGAAAGCCTGCGGCTGCACGCGGGAGGGGCCCGCTTGTCGCAGGATTGCCTCCCGCGATCGTCGGGGCGGTTTTGATCCAGCCATTGCGCGGGGTTGGCCGGCAGGCGCGGGGGTACTTCGCCGTCGCAAAAACAAGACTTATGGAGGTCAAGTCGGTGTCAGCAAGAACATGGGGGCCGAAATGTAAAATACCGCGTCCGCTGCCCAAGACCCTCATTGGTGGGCCCCCCAACTCCCCTACGGGCAGTGGCGCGCTGCAACACGGCTTCGCTGTCGGCACTGGAGCGCCGGGAGAAGTTCCACACCCGCGCCGCCGGCGTCATCGCTGGCGTTCCCGTCAGGGCCTCTCGGGCGGCTGCTGAAGAGGAGTCTCGCCTTCTCTCGCTGGAGGGCGCTGCGTCGATGCGGGGTACCCGGTGCTACCTGTAGTCGTGCGTACGCGGCGGCGGGTTACAGCGACACGCCGAGGCTCTTTTCCCGCCTTCCAACCCGACACACTCAGCCCTCCGCCTGATGGCGGGTAAGTTGCACAAGCATAGGTGCTTTTGGCACGCCCCATTGCCGCGGAGCCCCTCGATGCCGCCAACGCGCGAATGTACTTTGACACTTCGCCGCCGGCTGGATTGGGCGCCGGTGCCGATCCGGAGGAGAGACGCAAGGGATGCACGCTGCGGGTGGAGTCGAAGGCGCATGCCCTCACACTCTCAGTGGGCGGACGGCTCCGTAGAGCTCGGAGTGCTGTCTGGCCGCGCCGCCCGCTTATATTGGCGCCAGACACAGGCTTCCATGCAGTGTGGAGTGCGGCGGCGGCTTGCTGGCGCGCAGCAGCCGAGCGGAGTGCCAGGACATCGAACTGAGCCCCGCTGAGCTCCTGCTGTGCTTTCTGAAAACGTCCGGCAGGCGCGTGGCGGGCGTATTTACAGACTCACCGTCTCTTCTGAGCGTGACTGAAACGGGCCCGACCCGAGTCACGGACGGGGTGCTCCGCCGCATTTGGAGCGTCATTGCCGGCCCGCTCCGTCGTGGCGCGTGCGCCTGCGTTTTAACTTTATTTTTTGGGCGCGCCGGCGCCCCTCACACACAGAACGAGGCGGCTGATGAACTTGCGAAAGCAGCGCTGGGGGTAATTTCAGGACGCACCCGCGCGGATGGCGGACATCCGCACCGCCACCCGCCGCCGC